AATACAGTAAGTTGTGAGGACGCTTATTCTGTGTGATCCAGCATAAGATACACAATGTGAGATGGTAATAAGGGGGCGTCAGTGCACTAAATAGATAAATGAACATGAGGAGACTTGATAAATCATAAAGTCAAGGCTGATCAAAACAATGATCAATCAAAGCCGCGAGGCATGGCGAGGGAGCAGCGCTGCCACTACGCTGATGATGACAAAGCTTATGAGCGTGTGCAAATATACAGGAGTGAACAGAGCATCTTACCCTTTCCTGCTGCACTGGGGAAAGTCAACCTGTTGGGGCTTTGAACGTGACTCTGTAGACTGTGGATGAAACTCAAGTGTACTTCGACACTGAGAACCTCATTATGGCATCAAGTTAAATGATGATAATTTTACAACATGTCCAAACTGGATCTCCTGTTTCTCTCTGATACAGGCACTTTTTAAGGTTTTGGAGACAAACCCAGGGATGAGGTAAAAAAAAAAAAAAAAATCAGTATCTTTCAAAAGCATATAGGCCAAAGAGAAAAATAATTAAAACTCTGGAAAGCTGACAAACACATTAAGTAATATATTAAAATATATTGCTTAAATTTTAATTAGACTCTGCCTCATTGATCACTATGATCTTAAAATTGAAACTATTCTCCTCCTCAGTTCTTCATTCACATGGCCTACTTTTAACCCCCTGAAAATAAGTTTGGTTCATCTGGCATTAAAGTTCCCTTATTGTATAAAGGTAGATGTCCATGTGTAGTGTGATTATAGATCAGGTCTAGGTTCTATATTAATACTGTGAAAGTATCAAAGCCTCAGTCCACAGAGAAATGCACACAGCCTGTATTCAGAAACTGAGCCTTAAAACCAGCCGTCAGGACTTCTGGAACTTTGTGATGTCACAACAAAGCAGTCATAAAGCCCCGCCCACCTGACCCACCATCTGAACTTTGAAGGATTTGGTTTCTCTGAGTGTTTTTACCTGAAATCTGCTATATTTTTATTGGATCACTAAGAAAACAGTCAGCCAATCAGAAGAGAGGGGGAAAAAAACAATAAAGCATCTGGTCTCTGCAAAGAAAGGAAGTTTGTGTTTATTTGCATATTGAGCGGAGATGTGAGGAAAACATACTTCACATTGTTTTATTACTGTGATTTGAAATATGATACAAGACATACACTCAGTGACCACTTTATCTGGTCCATCTGTACAATCTAATGCAATCCACTACAACTGTTCGACCATAACGTCTGTCTGACAAAGACAGACGGTTCAGTCATGTTTTAGCACTGAGGTGACGTTGTACTGTATTATATTGAAAAGTGTCTGATATTCTGCACCCTCATGTATGTAAACACCAGCTTTACCTATGACCTCAGTAACAAATAAATAATTTTACATATGATTTTAATTTTAATACAAAAAGTGAACATTACGGGCATGATAAAAGCAGACAGTTTGCATGGCATGTATCATTATCTACATATATATACAGTACCAGTCGAAGCTTGGACTCACCTTCTTTATTTTGATTATTTTCTACAGTGTAGAACGATGCTGAAGGCATCAAAACTATGAAATAACACATGGAATTAAGTCGTAAACAAAAAGTGTCAACAAAGCAAAGGAATTTAGATTTTATTTTCTTCAAAGTAGTAGATCATTGAATGATCTAGTTGTTACTACAAAATCTTTACTTTAATTATGTCAACACACTGGAGAAATCTACCCGCCTTGTAGTTCAGTGCTGTTTAGTCCCAGACATCTTCTGAGCAATAGTTCTGTCTGGTAACATTTGCATATAAATATCACTTGTCCCTGATTTTTACTTTCTTCAGTGACAGAAACAAAAATGGCCCCGGGGCCTCCTGCCGTGTTAATCCGGCCCCGCACCCATAGAGTTTAGCCTCATTTATTAAGTTCATCTCTTTTTCCATGCCATTTACTGACTAAATCAGTGGAATGCACATAAGCAGATTGTCCCCGACTGAGGAAGTGAAACAGAACACTGAGCACAAACAGTTCAGTGTGCGGTGGTAACAATTTCTCATTGCTCATTCAGCATTATAAGACATCATAAGAGCAGTACAAGCATGTCGTGAGTGCATCATAATTACTATAATCAGAGCATAATATCATGAAAACAATATGTGTGTGAGTGAAGCAGGGCTCCCAGTCCCTTCACTGAGATGCTGTTAAACAACCACTTGAGGTCAGTGTTGCTCTAAGTAAAGAGCCGTGTCTCGCACCGGTCGTGTCGATGTCCTGAATCTGAGGTCAAAACATGCGAGCCCATCCAGTGACCTCAGTGAGGAGGGGCCGTATGCTGCTTCAGCCACAACTGAGATGATGATACGATCCTGAGAGTAAGCAGTGACAGTGATGATGCCTGAAACAAAGGCTCACTAAAGCATGGAGCAGTAATTTTTATGCAACTGAAATACAATGGGAAAAATAGCTTACAGTAAACCAGTAGAAAAGGATTACACCAATGGTTTTATGTTGCTTTTTTGTGCTAATGTAAAAAGGATTTCAAGGCAAGTCTTCTGTGTGTGAAGGCTTGTTTTGCTTGTATGTGAACACAGTGAGAATAATGCTTCTGATTACAATATGTTTTATTCTGTAACTTGGATAATTTCTCATCAATAAAATCATAGCTGTTGATTTGTCTTTCATTGGACCATCTTTAGGAATAGTCTATTTTTTGAAATTTCACCCACACTTACTGCCAGAGCCATTAGAAACCAAAGAAGACTTTTAGTTGTCGCCAAAAAACCTTCCATTTAATTAACTTGTTTTACTGTTTTATTATATTTTCTGTAAATGTTTTCTTCCCAGATGCAGTTTCTAACATTATTAAATTTAAATGTAAAGACCTCTATCTGTGATCAGCCTTCAGAATGTGTGATGGTGTAGAGTCATTTCCAGATAAACTTGTGTGTTTCCAACTCACACTTTAACACAAGAATCCTAAATATGCACGCAGAGATTACATACGTTGCATGATATTGAGCTAAAACCCTGAGGTCCAAGCTAACAGGTCCCCAGCATCCTCACCAGCTGATGACCCATGGAAATAAACAAGCAGTTTTTTTTTCCTTCATGTAACCTCACAAACGTATGTAATTAGCCAATGATGTGCTCCTAAGCAACGCTCTGGGAGTCAGGAACGGTCTGTTAATCATTCAATATGTTGACATGCGCACTAATATTCCACTATTATTCCACTATTATTCCAGGTATTGTCATATATGAAATTTGATATGGGGCGTGTAAAGAGTTTGGATTTTCCAGAATATGACCTTCTCGATTATTATTTGGATTTCAGGAGCACGTTTGGAATCTGCGTCTCAGTTTTTACGGCAGTTTGTGACGCGCAGCGTTTGGCCCGGTCAGCAGAAACGTTTAAACCTTTTTAAACATTTGCATTTGGAAGACTTGGATATCAGCAGGTTTTTTCACATGCGCAAACATCGCAACGCTGACCTTTAAATAAGAGATGATGTGGCCGCATGTAAACGGGAATATAAGTGGAGTATTCATTTCCATTAGCCATGTAAGCATCAGGAATATTGTCTTCTTGTAATGTTTGTCATTCAAAACCCAAGGTTAACTTCCTCTTCATTGACTAATCGATTAATTATTTCAACGCTGCATCTGTTTCTCAACAATAGGAAGCTGTAACTACCACGTGACCGAGATCAAAGCGTGTGTGTGTGTGTAGACATAAATAGTCACTTGACGAGGAATGTGAGGAGTGAGTGTGAGGTCTCGGGACTCGGGTTTGGTGAGCGAGCTGAGTCGGTGTGCCCCGGGGAGAGGAGAGTCACTGACCCGTGGCCAGTCCTCCTCCAGCAGCAGCGCACCTCACATATTATCACCCAAGTGAGTCATCAACGGCACGTCAACATCACTGAGGTTCTTCATGCCAATATTCCTATTGCTTTTTTTTTTTTTTTTTTAATCCTCCAGCATGCCTTGTTTGAGTGATTGCCCCCCCTCCCCTTCTTCTTTCTCTCACTCTCTTGTGCTTTACACCCCCCCCTCCACACACACACACACACACACTCACACACACTCACACACCACCCTCCCCTGTATGCTTCCATCACATTCTGCAGAAAAATTTGGAGGTCTGCCAACAGTATTACATTGCCGCCGACCATGAATGTGGCGTGTGTGTGTGTGTGTGTGTGTGTGCGCGCGTGTGTAGCTCCTGTGCCTGCACAAGCGTGCACAACCAAGTGTGTGTATGTGCGGACGCAAAATGTGGGTTTGTATGTTCACCACTTTTAAGGACACAATGTTTTTGGCAAAAGTGAATTCAATTGACGACTGAAGGGAGGAATCACAAAAGAGGAGAGAGTGTGTGTGTGTGTGTGTGTGTGTGTGTGTGTGTGTATGTGTGTCTGGACAAATGGATGAATGGGCAACTGGGTTCACTGCTTTTAGGGCCTCGTCTGTGTGTGTGTGTGTGTGTGTGTGTGTGTGTGTGTGTGTGTGTGTGTGTGTGTGTGTGTGTGTGTGTGTGTGTGTGTGTGTATCTGTGTGCGAGACACTATGTTGAAAAGAGTGAAAGAATGTGAGAAAAAGAGGTATTAGATGGGTGTTGTCTTACAAGCAACAACAGCACATTGCAGAAAGAGGCATTTTCAACCAATTTATTAATCCTTTTAGGCAATGTTCCCTGTTCAGAAATGCAAATTGAATCAATCTGAGTCTGACTTTTAAGACTTTCAAGTGGGATTTAATTAGAAGCCGAGGCGCACAGTTTTAATGAGAGAGGGGGTGGAGAAGAAGGAGAGACAGAGAGGGAGAAAAAGGGGGGAGAAGCAAGGGAGGGGGGAGAGGAGGGGAGGTGGTGTTTTAATGCTATTCCTGCGGGATCGGGGTGAAGGACACATAAACCCAACGCTGACGGCTTTCTTAAGAGAAGAAAATTCCATCGTTCCGTCCGGCCATCTGTCCATCCGTCCCCGCCGCCCTTCACCTTTAGACTCGGCTGTTTACACCCAGGGAGGGGCTCGGTGCTCGGGGTCTGTTTGGTGACATTAAACAACACCCGATCCACTCCGAACCCACACATAGCCCTCAGCAGAAAAAAAAAGAAATCGCCCCACTTCCTCCGCCAGTGGTTTCTGCAATCTCCATCGCCGAAATCCTTTGTCCTTTTGTGTTGTATTACTTACTCTAATACCATTTTTCTTTTCCTTCTCCTCCTTCCACTTCTATTCCTCTCTGAGATTCTCTAACCCTCCTCATCATCCTCCCATCATTTTCCGAGCCCTAAGCTGACTGAGCCTCCCAAAGCCATCAGGTCTGATTGTCTGATCTCAAGGCATCGAGTCCGCCGGCTGAAATGAAAAATGAGGATTCCTCTCAGCCTCTATTTTTATTCTGTTTTCATTCTCTCTTTCATTCGTCTCTCCTCGGTCTCCCCCCTTTTTTCTTTTCCCACCTCTCTTTCACACTCTCTATCACGCGTCCCCTTCACACACACACACACACACACACACACACACACACACACACCACTCTGCTGGCTCTTTCACTCATGCATCTTCACCTTTTGTGGCCTTCCGCGAGCCTGCCAATCTTCACCCATCCCTCCTCTCGTCTGCGTTCATTTCTGCCCTCCGTCTTCTGCCGGCTTGACTGGCAGCTGCAGTGGCACAGGGAAATGTGAAGGTAGCTGAGAGAGAGCAGGAGGCAGAAATCACTGGGTAATGCTTCAGATTACAGCCTGCAAATTACAGCGTAAATATTTAGCACATATGAAGGACCAAGGAAATGCAGAGGGAAAAAGAGGGTGAACAATGGAACACTTTATTTTGCAGAATGCGTAACCTGTAACTACACTGTAATTACAGAAAGAAAAAGAAAAAAACATGAGCAATGAAACCTTTTATTTTCCAGCCTGTATTTTCTGTAACTACGCTGTAATTACAGCAAAAAGGAGGCGAACAATAAAACACTTTTATTTTGCATCCTGAATAAACCCTAACTACATTAATTACAATGTAAGGGGGGGGGGGCAACGGAGCACTGTATTTAGCAGCATGTATTCTGTTCCACTTTACAACCCACACTCTCTGTGACGACACTGTTATCACAGTGGGCGGGGACAAACGATGGAACTCATATTTAATCAGCGTTTTACAAACATAAACATTATAGAGAGAGAGAGCTATAAAATACACTTAAGTGGCACTTTATTCCGAACACTTGGTGAAAAGCAGTGCTGACTTAATGCGGCTCAGGTGGCAGAGCAGGTCGTCCACCTATCGGAAGATCGGTGGTTCGATTCCTGACTCCTGCAGTTCTGCTTTTCAGAGACTGTCCTCCTGTAAGGAACAAGCCCACAGGTCCGTCTGTGCAGCAGGTTTTTGCGACCCATAGTTACCCTTTGTTGCTAGGCGACACCTAGTGGTCATAGGAATTATGACGGCAGCAAAGGGAAAAGTGTCGGTGACGTAGAATAAAGGATAGATGGATGGATGGATGGATGGATGGATGGATGGATGGATGGGTTGTGACCGTTCGACAGAGTTAACCACGTTATTATTTCTGTAGCCATGACAACAAAGATCGTCTAATGTTGAGGGAGTACATATCCGTTATTAAAGTAACCATGGTGACAAAGGTCCGGTACGCCAGGTTCATCACTTGTTAGTGTCCCCTGGAAACACTTCCGTTGCGTTGTGCATGTGTCAAATTGATGAAGATGTTTTTCTGAATTTGTTTGTGTCTGTTTTCATGTTTTATCTTGAGTCGTGGTGCGTTGAGCTTTATCCGCCCCGTTTATGTGTCAATGAGGGTGGACAAAAAAAAAACAAAACAGAAACACCTCTCAACACCTCCACAGACAACATCACAGAATCGTGAAAGGAAGCATTTTTATTGCAGGACTGTTGCACACCCTCCTCCTCCTCAGACGCTAACATTTTGTTCCCCCAGTAACAACAATGGAAACAAATTAAAAACATGAATGTCATTAACTTGGGAGTTAACGACGCTCACGTTTATTAGTTGCAAGTGGATATGTTCAGTTCTGCTCAACAAAAATGAGCACGTTCAATGAAAGCTAGCACACCCATGCACAACACACAACACACAATAATTAGACAATCATTTTCGACTGTAATCTAAAGCCTTAAGAATTTCTATTCTTTATGTACCGTTTTATTACAGTTGTCAATGGAGGTCTTTAAAAAGGCTCCTCTCTAATACCACTGCCCCCATTAAGCTTATTTTTGTTGATAAGGCACTTTGTCTTTGACTTCACTGTGACCTTGCGACTGATAATTACAGCCCCAGGATCATTATAATGCCCTATGAAATCAGTAATGCTTTATGGTAATGTTATCATTTCCTCAGTAGCAAGAAGTGTGACAAATTTATGTTTGTTTTGGGGCACCTCGGTGGCTCACCTGGTAGAGTGCTTACCATTAGGACTTACCGCAGCGGCCTGGGTTCGAATCCGGCCCACGGCCCTTTGCTGCATGTCATCCCCTCTCTCTCTCACCCCAAACTTTCCTGTCTCTCTCTCGCTGCTACTCTAATAAAAGCATAGAAAAGCCCAAAAAGAATAACTTTAAAATTTATGTTTGTTTGTTTTTTTTTTTATCTCTTCTAAATATCAGTTGAATTATCCCCAAACTAAAACCCGACCTGATCCCTCAACCTGTTTGTTGTCCTCTCAGATTGAGCTAAATTCTATAAGAAATGGCAGAAAACAAGAATGGAAATGTCTGCGCCGCTTTGATTTCACTCAGCAGAAGGAGCGACTGGTGGGAACGGTGATCAATCAGAGGAGAGACAACTGGCTCATAACTAATTTTCGAAGGGAACAGAGGATGTAGTGATTAACTACAAGGCGTCATGGAAAAAATATGTGGTGTTGTGAGTTACTTGTCCCTGGGAAAATATGAGTAATGACTTGTTCTGTCCTGTTTGAGTTGAGAGACTGACTCTAATTGCATTACAAAGGAATTTTGAGACAGGATTTTTATATCTGAATTCTTTGAAAACCTCATGGGCAAAGGACAAATACCAACATCAGTTTCATATCCTAATATATATATATAGTCTGCATCATCCCCCCCATGATATGATGGACATGAGGCAGTCTTATTGATTACTGTATTGTGTTGCCAAAGCAACTTATCGATTAGTTGATGAATCAAGATAATGGGGGCAGTGGTTAGAAGGTTCTGGGTTCAAACCAGGGTTCTGCGCAAGCGGCAATCATCACAGAAGATCCAAAAACTGCAGTTCCTCAAATGGCCACATGAGTCTGGCTCCAAAAGTGAGTCAATACCCATAGACTCCCATGTTAAAATGTCCAACTTTAAATCAGCAGTGCTCCTAGACTGTGGGGGGCCCAGGAGAAGAAGCCAATCAAAGCCCAGAAACCCCCCCATTCCCACATGCAGACTATCGGAGGACGCTACTATTTACAGATGTTCCCTGAATCCCTCACATGCAGACTATCCTGTAGACGCTACAATTTACAGATGTTCCCTGAATGCCTCACATGCAGACTATCAGTAGACGCTACAATTTACAGATGTTCCCTGAATGCCTCACATGCAGGCGATGGGTTGTCACAAGATACAGCACACATCAACAGTTGAGTGACATTTATGGATTAGCTGAGAGTTAGGGGCGGAGTCAGGCGCCGCCAAGTTGCCGACGGTGGAGCAGCTCGCTCTGAGCTTCATAACCACTCTTCACAAACCTCAGACATGCAGGTTAGGTTAACTGAGGACTCTAAAGGACCCTCAAAGGATACAAGCAGTATATCCAAGCAGTATATATAATGGATGGATGGATGATGTGCTGTTGGGCATTTTTCACCATTTTCAGGCATTTTATAGACCGTAACATAAATTGATTATATGAAAAATAATTGGCAGATTAAACAAAAGGGAAATAATTGTTATAGAAAGGATCAATACTAAATTGCTGGCAGTGGGGAAACCTTTAACCTGACCTAATCATCACAAATAATTTTGATGATATTCCGCACAACAATGCATGAATATGTTATTATCAGGTTTAGTTGATTTAAAGCTGCATGAAGCATTTTTGAGCAACTTGTGGCTGTGAAACAAGCAGTAAATACAACATTAACAATACTAAATGACTGAGTCGTTGTGACTGACGTGTTAGCAGACTGCCAACTCTGTCTGTGTGTGGACAGGTAGTGCACAGGTAGGTAGTGGGTTTGTCACAGCTTTTCCAATGAAATGAGGTTAATGAGAGCAGGGACTGTGGAACGGGGATCTGAAAGAAAGACCTAAGAGGATAAAAAGTAGAGCTGAGGGGAACTGTGAGAAAACGAGCCCATAGGTTGTCTGTGCAGCAGGTTATCATGACCCATAGTTACCCTTTGTTGCTAGGCGACATCTAGTGGTCACAGTAACTATAACAGGAGCAAAGGGAAGAGAAAGTGTTGGTGACGTAGTTTAAAGAAAGACAAAGTCCACGTCAGGAGGAGGTTGTGGTGGATGGATGAATGTGACACAGGAGAGCAGCAGTTTATCTTGTTTATATTATCGATGACCATTCGACGTCGCTATCATTGTAACCGTGACAACAAAGATCGTCTGACATTGAGGAAGCATTTATTTTAACCCAAACCCAACTCTTTGCCTGAACCTAACCAAGCCGTGACCGTTATTACAGTAACCATGGTGACATAGGTGGGTAGCGCCACTGTCGGTACAGTCCTTGTGTTTATTATTGTAACCATGACAACCAATGTCTGGTACACCTGCCGCCGCAGGGGCGCTATTTCAGGAGAGGCTCCTATGGGTCTCTGTGTGATGCCTTTCACACCACACACACAGATTTGATCCATCCACGTTTTAAAAAGTCTGTGCGCTTCAGTTCAGTCTCAGTGTTGAAACTCACAAGCTTTTAAGGGAGTTTTTTGTGATACGGTTGAACATAAGAATAAAAAATATTAACCACTGACAGTTTAAAGTGACTGTTTATCAGCCAAGTCTTTGTTCCTGTGTCTGCCGTGATGTCATGACAAGAGACAGAACAGAGAAACTTCAGGCTGAGAGGTGGCTGACAAAACGCAGAGCCAAAAACGTTGTCTGGGGTCCCCAGGAAGCATCGCTCCTGTCCCGGCTTGATGGTTGAGGTGAGGCAGGGTGAGGCGGGGGTGAGGCTGCCTGGTGTCACCGTGGTAGATGAGCTGGTGGTGTGTAAGGCACAAGGTGATGGAGTGTGTGAGGTCTGGTCTATCGCTGTCATTAATAACCCAGACAGGCCTGCCAGCACCTTGGAGCCCCGCTCCCATACATAAACCTCAGAGCAGCCGCCAGGGCCCCTGCGCTGGCCCCTGAGGAGGCACGCACGCACACACACACACACACAGACACACACACACACACACATGCACACATCAGCAAACTAGTCTGACTACTGATGTTAACATGATAGAGAGGAGTCATGCGTGGTGTGAGGAATAGAGCTGCACCTGGAGTGAAGAAGTGTCTCAGCAGAACTACAGGAGGTGATGGTCTCAGATATTCTTACATATTTTTCTTTCCCATCACTGGGTCCGTTCACCCGAGACAGACAAAGGAATAAAATATGTGAAGGAGCCTGGCAGAAGCCCCTGTTCTTGTCTTTGTCACAAAGCAA